CTGATAATATGAATGCAAGTCTTATTATAAAAGAATACAAATTACAGTGCATTCTCTTGTTTGCTTTATTTTACAGAGCGACCAAAGATCTATGACTAGTGGAGATGAACTTTCTGCAGCTGTAAGTGACAAGCCATTTTGTTTTCATTAGTGTTCTTCTTTCGTAAGACAGTGGCAGCTAATTAGAAAGATAGGTATATTCTTATTTCAGTCAATTTTCATTATATCTTCTAGTCCCAAAGCAAACCCTTATACACATCATTTTAAGGCTCATACCCCATGAAACTAACATTCTAGCTAAATTGATACAACTCTGAGGGGACTCTTGCTGAATGCAATCAGATAAACTGATTAATACGTCTCCTGTTGGTGTTCATTGGAATACAGAAAAGTTGCTGATTATTCGAGTACTTTGGAAACGAGGCATGCTAACCTGTTAAACTGATTACATTCAGCAGAAGGCCCTGTTGAGTTGGATCTTCCTAGACTGATGTTGTCTATGGGAATAGAATACAATAGATTCAATGGGAATGAGACCTTAGAATCAGCTATTGAGATGTTGAGTAGAATAAGAAATTGCTTTAGACTGGGTTCCTATGCCTAGATCGTTCCATCTGGATTGGTCTGACTCCCTGGGGAGTCTCACTAAATTGCTATCAACTCAGCAGCTAGGTGGTAAAGATAATTAACGGTTTTGCTAGGCTTTACAGACGTTTAAGCTGGTTAAGTAGATAGCAATTTAGTGAGACTCCCCAGGGAGATAGATCGATCCAAATATCTGTGGGAATGGTCCCTTACTCTTGATAGAAAATTACATTTGTTGCAAAAATACTTTTTAGAATGCTTTTAATGCATTTCAAAAAAAAAGTTACAAAATCTAATTATTTTTCACTCAAGGATGATGAAGTAGGGAGGGAATTTGAGGCTCAAGCTTCTGAACTGAGAAATGCTGCACTGCGGATAACAGAATTAGAAGAGACAGTTCTGGGGAAACAGCTAGCCATAGACAGCTTGACCAAAGAAAACGAAGCACTGAAAGCGCAGGTAATTTTTTTTATTCATGATATTATATTTGTTGTATTTCATGTAGTATATGGAGTTATTCTTACATTTTGTTATATTGCTGTTAAGTGCTGAAAGATTTGAAAAAAAAATCAGTTGTCATGATTATAAACCAACCTGTGTGATTTACTATGTTCTGGCATGTGAGGCATGTTTTCATCAGTTTTAAGTTAGACAAAGAATAGACAAGTGATTTTAACAGACTTCCAGACTTTTCAACATAGCCATGTGCTGTGTAAGTCATTATAATGCAGGGTGGGAAGGGAGAGTGGGTATGGAGCCTTTTCTCATGAAATCAATAGTCTGTCTAATTGCATGTCACTGACAGCTGTGACAATTCTTGAAGAAGTCTGTGAAAGATAGATGTACATAAAAGCTCAAACCACACTCACAGTAGTATCCAGCTTTTGATTTTATTTTTCATTCTGTAAATCTTTAGCATGTAGTATGTTATCTCAGTTTGACCTGATGTGAACTTGCCTGTACTCTCTTCCACAGGTTCCAGAAGCTGCAGGTGCTTCAGCAGGTGCCAAAGAAGATGAATACAAGATAACAGTAGAGCAGTACAATCACAGGGTATGATTTCTGGCATATAAAACTTAACACATACCATGAAATAATTAAAAGAGAAATTGAGTAGTTATATTTATTTGTCCATTTCAATACCTCTTTAGCTCAAAAGTTGTGTAATTTACCTTATGTCTTTGAGCAGTACAATCACAGGGTATGGTTCCTTATGACACTCATGTTGGCATATAAAACTTAACACACACCATTAAACAATTGAATTTGGACAAAGAGAATTTGAGTGGTGATAAAAATAATTTTACTTAATATCTTTGAGCAGTACATGGTTTGATAACTTGGGATATTGCTGTTTCAACCAAATTAAAAAATATGTACTCTATAAAATGTCATCACGATTAAGCAATTGATTTGTTCTTAAAATAAATTGTGACAATGCAAGAAACTGATTAAAAATATCGAGTAACATTCTGAAAGTCTGATACATTTTTTTTTGTGACTAGATGCAAGAGTTCCAGGCAGCAATAGCTCACAGAGACGAGCTGATCTCTAAGCTTCACACAACTCTGCAGGCCAAGTCCCAGCAAGAGCAAGACTCGTCCCAAGGAGATTACTCCAACGAGACGTCCCAGTTAGCCAACCAAGTTCACGCACTTCAGAAACAACTTCAGGAGGTAATTTTTTTTGAATGATTAACAATATTTTGATAACTTTCTTTTGCTATTGATTTTGAAAAGTATGCTGACAGTGAAACTGTCCTTATTTTTATTTTTATTATTTATTTTTTTCTGGTGTTCATGTGTTGAAGTATCCAGGATAGAAATTCTAAAGTAGGTAGTTCAGATTCTGCGAGTGTTGGCTTAGTAGCACTTTTACTAGATGTTTGAAGTTAGTAACACTGCGTTACGCTTTTGCTTTAATATATAAAATTTTCAAGAGGCAAGGTTCTTATTTCACATATATATATATATATATATATATATATATATATATATATATGTGGTAGAAGCAATTTAATAAAAGCCTTACCTTTTGGAAAATTCCTGCTTTTCCCACATTTGTTGTGATACACGTTGTCCTCTTTTCATAATGGTAGTCAAAGGACTGACCCATGCTGATCTTTGTACATGTAGTGTTATTTCATATACTTTGTATTGAAGAGATTTAGCACCCTGGCATGTGTATTAAGCACTTGGATGTTCTCTGAACACAAGCAGTGAAAATATCCCCCTACATGTTCTTTCTGTAGCTTGACCTTTGATTTGTGTTTGTCTCCTGTTTTCTCAGGCTGATGAAGCCCTGAGGAATCAAAAAGGAGGATTTGAGCTCTCGTCCCAGGCATTACAGGAGGCTAAGAATCAGGTTCTGACTCTGCAGAAGGCGTTAAAAGAGAAGGAAGACGCCCTGTCGGAGCTATCTCAAAAGTTTTCTGAAGCCTCACAGGAGAATCTGACGTTGGGAGAGCAGGTGGAGGCTTTAAAGAAGAAAGAGAAGGATTCCAATGCTGTGGTGCGTCAGTTGATGACTGACGTCGAAGATATGCAGAAACAGGGCAAACGGTCAAGCAGTCGGCCAGACAGTCCCAGCATCTCTCAGACTGACCTCCAGCAGAAAATGGCTGAGATGGAGGAACAGCACGGGATGCAGATTACTCAGATTAAGGAGCAGTTGAGAGAACAACAGCGGGAGGAAAATGAGAAACTGAATCAGGAACTAAAGCAGCTGACTGAGCAGAACGAAACTCTAACGAAGCAGGCATCTGAGTGGCAGACTTGGTACCACAGCGTAGTGGAGCAGCTTGGCCATATACAGGAATATCCGAAACGGCTGAAATTATTGGAGGAGGAAAATTTGTCCTACAAGGCACAGGTTGACGAAGCCAACACAAAGCTTAAGGAGGCTTTGAAAGTTAGGGAAGATCTGAGCTGCAAGTTGCAAGAGTCAGAAAAAACTATAGAGAATCTATCGAAAACCCTGGAAAATGCAGGGACCCAAGTGGCAGAATACGAGCATAGACTTAAAGAGCAGGATGCAGAGATTCAAAATCTTCACGTAAACCACAAGCAAACAGTAGAGGAACTGAGGCATCGGCTTGCTCAAACTGAACAGGAATTCAAACAAAACAAGGATATATATGAAAGTGAAATGCAGCAAATGAAACAAAGACTTTTGGAGCAAGAAAACCATCAGAAAGCTGGCATTGAAGCAAGAATTGTTAACAGTGTGGACACTTCTAAAGTTGAAGCATCTCTGTATGGTGGTGATGTTGAAAAAGAGTTGCAGAGTAAAATACAGGCTCTTACTGAGGACTTTGAGGCAAAGTTGCGTAGACAAGAGCAAAATCTAAATGAGGTTCATGAGATACACCTAGAAAGAGCTCGGGTCGAATGGGAGTATGACAACAAGAAGGAAAAAGAACAGTTCATGAAAGACCAGGAAATTCTTCTCAAACAGAAAATAGATGGCATTCGATCTGAAAGTGAGCGCAGGTAAGTCAGTTAAGCAAGAAAAAGATTGCTTGGTAATTGGAATGATCCCAAAAGAAACAGCTCATAAGTTAAAAATTTTTTTTCTCCCTTTCAGAAAACTATATGTAATGATTTTAAGACTGTAAACAAACCTTTAAAACAAGGATGACATTACCATTACTGCCAAAAATACCTCCAAGTTCAAAATAAATTTTACATTTCCAGTCATTTTGGTAAAAAGAGGGTATCAAAGATTATTCATTTGCCTGACTGTAACCAAACAACAAATATAGCTAAGGATATAAAGACTTTGAACAAATATTTTAAACAAAGGTGATGGTCCCATTACTGCTAAAAATACCCATTTACTCTTAATGATAAATAAGATAATACTAGTATGTACTTTCTTACAGCCAGGCAAGAATAGTTTTAGGCTTGAGTTTTTCTGCGGAATTGCAGAATTATGAATTTTTTACTTGACATTCAAGCATAGAAAACCCAAAAAATTTAGGTTACGAGTTTGATCACATGATAAATGTTCAGAGTTTTTTTTAAATATATATAAACATGACTCGTGTCTGGAGCTTACTTGGCGTGGTCTGTATTCCAGATTTGTCCAAGAGCTACAGAAGGCTCGCCTGGAGCTGGAGCGGGTTCAGACGGAGAAGCTGGAGCAGCAGCGACTGGCGTATCTCCAGCAGCAGTTGCACCAGACCACAGCAGGCTCATGTGAAGTGGACCACCATGAGTTGGCCAAAGTGGTGGACAGGCTGCAGAAAGAAAATAGGGTAAGTGGTAGAGTTTTATGGTGGTGAGTGGCAAAAGATTTTTAAAATATTAATAACGTTAGTTTTTAGGTGAGGTTGAGATTGCCAAAGTGGTAGACAGGCTAAATTAAGAAATTGGGTAAATGCTACAGTTTAATGGTAGTTAGTGGCAAAAATGAGAAAAAAAAACAATTTGATGTTCTGTTTCAAAAAAGAAAAAAAAAAAAGGACTTCAGTTTTTAAGTGGTAGGCAGGCTACAGAAAGAAAACTAGGTGTTTGCCAGAGTGAAAACTCTACTCTGGGATAGCGCTAACACTTGCCAATTTAGCCAAATGCTAAAACTGACTGAAATTGGCTAAACAAAATGGGGTTGATATGACTTATTTTAGTCAAATTTAAACCATTTGGACAAAAAAGCAATGAAAAAGTGATAATTTGGCTAAACAAAAAAAATTGTGTGCGCCACCCCAGGTACTCTGTTTTAGGGTGCTGAATGGCAGAATGGGATACATTTGGGGCCTGTTTTAGATTTTAGGAAGTTTGTTAAACTTGGATAGCTTACTATGTGCAGATAACTTTTTGCTATTATCTTAAGAGTTCAATTTTACCATTAAAAAAAAGAAAAAAAAATGGTCTGCAAGAATTGTGGTAGCTACCCGTTGCACCATCTGCTTGGAGTTTTGAGGAATTTAAAATGCAGACATTTATATTCTTTTGTGTGACTTTTGTTTAGAATGATTTAGTTCAATTTGATAAGGGAAAATACACCCTATGAAATATGAACAGCCTAGATTTGCTCAGAAAAGAATTTTTTCAATTTTATGGTTTTACTTAACGTTAGGACTTGGCCGAGGCACGAGACGCTCTGCTAAGACAAGTAGACGAGGTCCACCACATACAGGAAGACCTGCAGGAAGAGGTGCTCACTTTATCCCAGCAGAGTCAGCATCTAGGGGAAGAGAATATGCAGGTATGTGGATAAAATGATGAAATTGTTCTAAAATCTTTACTGGGGTCATATTGGCATGCATGGACTTTGGCAGTAGAAAATTGCCAATTTTTTTGGTAATTATTTGTTTTATTTTGCTGAAATTAAAATGTGCCAATGTGACCCTAGCGCCATCTGTTGTGAAGTTTACTCGGTGTACTTAAAAGTTCCGTGTTGTATACCAGCAAAGGAAACAGAATTAAGCTGGAGAGGTAAAACCCAGATAACAATAGGGTTGTGAACATGCCTGTTTTCCATTCAAAATAATGCTAGGTAAAGAACAGTTCAAAGCAAATTGCTATTTCATCAAAAATATTTTACTTTTATTATTATTATCAATCAATCAGTAATCAAATATGTCAATCATGAGCTGTGGTGTAAAATTTCCATTCTTCAGTTAAAAAAAAGAAAAAAAATCGCACCTGCCTTGTAGCCGTTTTTGAAATAGTTGACCTGACTTGGTCATGGTAAAATAAGTCCACTTGAAAACCACCAGATGGCAGCATTATGGTCATGTGACCCACTAGGGTCGGAAACTGGTCACATCAGGAGAAATGACCATCTTGAGTACAGTGACAAGGAGAGATTTATGATGGACAAAGTGCAAGCTAGACTCCTGGGCAAATATCATGCCACAAGGAGATGGGGTCAGGGAGAAAGTGTTTTGGAAGACTTTCCCATATTTTTGGCATAACTTTGCTTTTCAATCCCGTACTAAAATGTACTCTGAATCAGACATTTAATATTGAATAGGAATTAAAAAAAACTGATGGATTCAAGACATGTGTCTACTGGAGTTTTAAGTATTATTGATATGTCATATCAGAACAGGGTTTGACCGAAGGATTGATGGCCCACAGGTGAAACAGTTAAGTTAAAGGGGTGGGGGGTATATGGACCAGTACAGCCTGTGCCCTCACCAAATTTATGTTAGCTACTCCTGCATTTATAACATGATAAAATGAAAAAATTCAATTTTCAGCTCACATTGACCATTTCTTTTCAACATTTTAAGATCATTTAATGATTTTTTTTCCTACCTTTTTGATGTACCTGTCTCTTAATTTGTCCACTTTCCTCAACAACATTTTTTTGAAGTGTTTATTTATTTATTTGTTTTTGTTTTTGGCATGTGCTCTTGCCATTTTGCATGCAAGATATTATGCATGAAAGTGTATTATAATTGCTTTTTTCAAAAGTATGAAATGGAATTTAACAGGTTATATGCTTCAGTTTTATGGGAGTATTTTTACCACCTTATTGTAATTGAAAGCTTTTGCATGGTTTCAGTCCATTTTTACTTGTATCATGAAATAACCTGTTACTTTTTTATATATAACCAAAGTGTTTATCTTTCACATGCATCTTCACGTTTTTTTGAGGGGCTATTCAGTATAACAAGAATATGTCATAATACTTTAGTTTCAGTGGCAGAAAGTGAAATAGATGTGGCAGGGGTGCAAAAAGAAATAATACACTTAGTCTCTAGATTCTAGTTTTCTTGTGATTGACCTTTTCTACCTTTTCTTTTCAGTTTTGGTGTTGGTTATGTGTAAGACTGTACTTTGTGTTCTTCCAGCTGTCTCAAGAAATAGAGCGCTTTGGCATAGAAGCAAGCGTAGAGTCTGCCTCGGAACATGGCGTGGAAGAATGGCGGGTAAAATATAACTCCCTTATTGAAGAAAATGCTTATCTGCGTGCAAACCTGCAGAGGCAGGCCTCAAGAGACAGTAATGGTGACGACGGGCATGACTTGATCGATTTGAAAGTGAAATACGAAGCCTTGTTGTTGGAAAAGGAGAAACTTCAACAACGTTTACAAGTTCAAGGTCATTCCAGGTCAAGGTCAGGTAGCCCTGCAAGCGTTGGTTCCCACAGTGAGGCTGTTGCAGCAGACTGGAATCATCGCTATGAAGAACTGCAACACCAGATGGAGCTGCAGTCACAGGAGTGGGAGACGCGGTGCCAACAGCTGCAAGAGGAGAACCAGGCCCTGGCAACCGAGATAGAAGTGCAGAAAAACACTTACACTTTTGCTGAGAAGAACTTTGAGGACAATTACTCCAGACTGGAGGAGGAGAATAACCGTCTGCATCAAAGATGTCGAGAGTTAGATGAGCGCATGGCTGGTGATGTCGGTTATGGTGGCTTTGCCGAGGAGGACGGCTTGCAGGGTGAATTGGAAGTACTGCGAAAACAGAATGTTCATCTGGAAGAGAGCATCATGAATCTTAGAAACACACTTGACCAAGAAAAGTGTGACATGGAACAGGAACTACTGACTGCAAATATGAAATATGAGAACATGGCGCTGGAGAATGAGAGCCTTAAACAGGAAGTGAATAGCTTAAGAACTACCAGCGGGTCTGTCGATGAGATCTCATCTTTACAGAAGTACATCATGGACTTGGAAAATAGGCTTTTGCTGGCCGAAAGAGAGAAATTGGACATAGAATCGCATCAACAAAGCCAGTTGACAATTCAAGAAACAGCTAGCAGTAGAGTAGATGCTGCTGCTGTGTTGCAGGATGAAAAGATGCAGTACGAGGCCAGGGTGAGGGAATTGACTGCTAACTGTGAGCATTACAAGTCCAAGGTGGACGAGTTAGAAGACGAAGTGCTCGCCTCTAACATAAAATGTGATGAGTTGATCAGAGAACTGCAGGACGCCAAGGAACAAATAGAGTCAGTGCAGGGCGTAGATGTTTCTTTGAGAAATGAAATGGCTGAGATGCAAGAGAAATTGCTGCAAGTTTCGGAAAAATTGGAAGCCACTGAGAAGGATCTGCAAGAAGAAAGGAACAAATATCAACAACTTGAAGAGGAACACCGGAAAAAACAAACGGAAAACAATGCAATGGAGTCTGCTAACATTTCACAACAATTAGCAGAATTGAGACAAATTAATTTGAAACTAGAGAAGGAAAAGGAAGAGTTGGCAACTAAATTGAACCAAGAGGCTAAAACTGTGGCTATGTTGCGGGAGCAGCTCTCCACTGCAGATTCTGTTTCAGCAGAAGTCCAGAGCGTATTTGGGCAGCAGTTGTCTGAATTGCAGTCGCAGAAAGACGAACTTTCACGTAAATTGGAGGAACATAAGCTTAGAGACCAAAGAATGACAGAAATAATTAAGGAAAGGGATGCACTTGAGCAAAACTTGCAGCAAGAGAAGCATGCTCTGGCTTTGAAATTGCAGGAAAAAGAGAACTTAGAGATTGAACTTTTAAGGGAAAAGACGCATCTTGAGCAAAAGATCAGAGAGCAGCAACGTTTGGAAGAATTCATAGACGAAAAAGATCTCTCAGAAAGAGAGCTTCTGGAGCAGAAGCAACTTCTAGAGGGAGACTTGGTCAGATTAGAGCAGGAACTGAAAGAAAAGGAAAAACTCCTGGCAAATGAGAAAGCTCAGCTATTGAAGGAAATCCAACTTAAAGATGACACAGTCCAAAAATGGGAGTCAAAATATCACGAGTTAGAAAAGGTGACAGTCGCTAATGAGAAGGTTCTCAAATCTAATTTTTCTCAAGAGTTGAAAGCAGTTCAGAGCGACCTGGAGGAGAAAAATCTGAAGACTCTGCAGGCGGTGAAGTTACAAGTCGAGATGGAATACAGGGAGGCCATGACAAGGCTGCGACAAGAACTCGCTGAGGACGCCGCGGCAAGAGAAGCCAAGCTGCTGCAAGAACATGTGGCTAAGCTGTCCTCCGTTGAAACAAAGCATAGCAAAAAGGTGCGATGGTATAATCTGTAGTTTTTTTAAATAGGATTATCTTTGAAATTTATATAATCATCTTGGTTGGAATTTTGTTTTGAATATATGAGAAATACTCATGTGGTTTTGTGTATAGACATGTTCACACACGAACTAACTTAACTCGAAAATAGACCAACTGATGTCACTGGATAACCAGATTACACAGTGTCTCACTCTTTGTGCTTCGTAAATATGTTGTTAAACAATCCTGCTGTATGATGATGTCAGCTAGTCTGTTTCTGGTCAATGTTAGTCTCGATGTGAACATGTTTTGTGTTGGAACAAAGGGGAAGATATCTTCACATTTAACATTGCTTGGTGGTGGTGGTGTTGGCTCACCCTAGCATACAGAATTTCAGCAACTGCTAGATATTGTGTCATTTGGCTGGAAAATGTAAAAATGTTTCTTTTTGACCAATTGGAAACTTTTCGGCTTAATGAATTTTGGCTTGGACATGTTGCTGGAAGAAAATTGTGGAAGAGTAAGTTAAGATGGTTTAAGAAGTTATTACTGTGACTAGGCTGCCACTTGTATTACTAACTATGCTTAGGGTGTGAATGGCGCATTTTCACTCAAGTTGTGATGGCTTAACTTAAAAAGTGCTGTCTCAGCAGACCAAGTTATAAAGCTTTCTAATAATAGGAAACTTGATTAACAGCATGCATCTTGCCTCAGTGTAAATTGTCCAAAGATAGCCTTAAATGTATTGCGTCATTTGAGACTTGAAAAATTTCTTAGAATTTGTGCGAGATGAGATCAAATTTTTATTAATAAAGGTGAAACAATACAAAATTGACACAAAAAATTAGTTTATTTCTGCAATTGTGCAATAGACTATAATTTGGCAGAAAGCAGCCAGAAGAAAAACATCTTCGGATAATTTTTGTCAACGTAGTCTGCCATTATTTTTGATCCCCCTTTTCTAAGTTATTTGAAATATCTGAAGTCGTATAAAATCTGTGAAGTTTTGATAGTTTGAGCTATCTAGGATTCTCTCCATTATAATGATGGGTGGTGAGACAGCAGAGGGACTAGATAGCACATATTATGTTAAGTCATCACAATTTGCGTGAAATGCAACCGTAAACTTGTTAAGAACTGGGCAAACTCAAAACTGGTCAAGGTCTCACTGATGTCACCGGAGAGACAGGTCATATACCGTCCCCAAAATCTCCCTTTTCATGATGTGCCTTAGAATTAAAGAAAAAAGGTTTTGACCGATATTTGTTATTGATTTGGGTGAATATTAGACCAGGTTTGCCCTTATACTTTTTTTTTATAGTTCATAATGTATATTTTTTTCTGTTTAAAGTTTTCATAAATATTGAGATTTATCTTTATGAAGACAATTTATATAATGAAAATATGTTGAAAGATCTGAATTGTTTTGAGATTTTAGTGTCAAATATTTCAAGTGTCATATTAGAGATGATGTAGTTTAGAAAAATGTTTCAAAGTATGATATTGTGAAAAGCCTGTTTTATTTAACCATCAATATTATATGTCCTATGAGTATTAAAACCATATGATAGTGTTAAAGCTAGCATAAGAGATAAATAAAGCATTAGTCATTGTCTTTTCAAAGCATACAGTTCAGTAGATTTTAGCATTGTACTTCAGGAAGTGAATAGAAATATGTCTATTTTAGGAATTTCACATTTATGTTTTAACACATAATTATGTGTCATTGATTTGGAATCCCATGTAACATTTTATTTATACAGTGATTGGGGGTAAAATTTGAAATGATCTCGATTTTCTATTGATGTTTAGTATAATTCCCCAATATCACCAGCCTGAAATCAAATAGAAACCGTGGTCTCTGTATAATAACATTTTGATATGCTGTGGCCTATGGTTTCTGTATGTAAATATCAAAGAAGACAGCAAAATAGTTAAGTGCAGGTCTGGGTCATTAAAAGTGGTAGATGTTTGAAAAAGTTTTCTTGTGAAGAAACTTGAAATCTTTTACATTTTTCCCACAGTTGTTCACTGTTGGGAATTTTTGATAGCAGTACCAGTTTATCAGCCTATCATAACTCTTAACAATTAAGTCTTTTTAGAGGGACACTCACTTGCAATAACCATAATTTTCCTTTTTGTGTAATCACGATTCTTGTTGGTTAACCTAAATAAATTTATGATGAGGTGTGAAAATTAAAGACAAGATCTTACTTAAGTCCATTATTCTGGACACTATATTTGTATGAGGTATTTTTTTATTGTGAGACTTGATTAAATAATAATGAAATGACATCCGAGTATGACATTGTTTCATTGGTGTTTTCATTCTCTGCTTTTGTAATGACCCAGACCTTCACATCCCTGCACTATTTTATTGTTTTGCACTCGACTTCACACTGGTTTTAGTTGTGTTGTAGATTTATGACTAACTTTTTCGATATCTAATTTGTGTGGATTTTAACATTAGATCTCTGTTTGTTTATATGTGTTGCACCATTCTTCACAGCAGCTTTTGTTGTACTTTTGATATGTTAACATTTGATGCTATTTTTATTGTGTTTTTAAACTAACCAAGTAATTATGTAATTCTCTCTCTTCTCTCTCTCTCTCACACACATACAAGTTATGTTCAGTTTTCACAAGATTTAAGTTGAAGAAAATAGTCTAAATAGTATCGCAGAACTCCAGATTTCAAAGAGACAACTATTGCCTTATTCTAAGGTAGAAAGAAATCCTTAAACAAGTGGGTATCTTTTGAAATCAGTTACTTAGTAGACTGTCCAACGATGAGGTTTTTCTACCTGAGCACCTGCAGTAAGAGAATATTCTGTAATGTAACCTCATTAATTTGTTGCACAGCAGGATACCCCTACCTTATTCAGCTGTCCAATATTGTGTTGACATGCCCTTGAAATGTGATCTATTATTTATAATCTGCAGGTAAAACCAAAACCATCCCCCCTTTGTTCTCTAGAAAATTTGAGATCTTTTTAAAGTTCATTTTCTTGGATTAGAGACTAAAAAAAAAAAACAAAACAGATTTTCGATCAGTAGATTTTCCTGTTGTTTTTAACAGTTTTTTTATTCTCATAGTTTTTACTTAAAAATTAATCCCCGAGTCCCTGAGGAGCAAACTACCAGTTCTTTGGATAGGATTTAGAAAGAAGAAAATAAAATGCCTATTCCATGTCCTAATAGTAAATAAAATTGTGCATTTGGAAAATTCTGTTGGGAGTCCCGTTGCCACCACCACCCTCTTTCTTTACATGTTACTATTGAATTATTTAGAAATCGGCCACCTCACTTGGCTATTTGTGACTGCACATGTTCCTGGGAAACATTAGTTTGGGTGGTGATAAAATCATTCAGAAATTTCTCCCCAGGTCTCTGCCTCCAATATATCCACTTTCATATGGTGATTGAATAATTTAAAAGTTGCTTCCCTTCCTGACTCTTCCTTAAAATAGATATTTCTTATATCACAAATGAATTATTTAGGAGATGTTCTGATTAATCCCCCCTGATTATATCATTCTACCATTGGAAGAAAGCAATAATAAGAATGGAGAAACAGCTTGGGTGGTGAATTATTTAGTGGGATTGTGAAGAGAAAAGACTGAAGTTACTCTGAAAGGAAGAGCGCTTTTGGGACGGTGTGTGGGGTGTTGGAGTGTCTGGGAAAAGGGGCTTGAGGCTTTTCTTTATATTTTAAAGATCTCTTTAAAATACATTTGGATATTTGGCTCTGCTATAAGGAGGCACTTGATAAAAGAAGAGGATAAGAAGATCGATTTTTAAATTTTCTCTGAATTTCATCTGAATCTATGACTTGCGCATGAAGAAGTGTACAACAAACATGGATGTATAGCTGATGTTTGCTGAACCATTTTTCATTTGGACGTATGTCCAACTTCCCCATCTGAAATCATTGTCAGTTACATTGACTTTACTACTTTCTTTAGAATTTCTTGTCGAAAAAGAAAAAGAAACATAGTCCAGTTGCTCCAACAGTCCTGATCGTCATTGACTGATCTGATATTGTGACCAAGGCAATAAGTTGACGAAGTCTCTGTGATATAAGCACATATGTAAAGAGCAGAATGTTTCAAATCAATTCTATGAAGTTAGTTGGCCCAGAGAGCCAGGATGGGATAGTGGTAGGGTGGCTGCCAGAAGGCATCCATCTTCAATCAGCCAGGTCCAGGGTGAGTGAAAATGTCACAGTTCAAGGGGAAAGTTGACAACTTTGTTTGCAAATTGGGCCACTTTTGTTATTTGTTGTTTTATTTACATAGTAAGTGTAGTATAATTATAGTATTATTCTAGTGTTTATTATGTGTATATGCATAGTAGGGTTGGTAACCCCATCGGTGCAAAAAAAAGAAACTTGGGTGGTTTCATGTGTTTACATGATATTGGCATTTTAACTATTTGTCATGATGGCTGTCTTGTTTATGAAAAATATTTTTTTGAAATGAGCCACATTGAAAATTGGTCTTGACTGAACCTGGAAATATTCTAAGCCACATTATTTAAATGAATTTTAACTTCAAAGATTTTAATCTGAAAAATGTAATAGGGTCTTTATTGGTTGGACAGTCTCTTGTTTTAATTTAGTACTGGTCTGAACAGGACTTTTAGAACATTATGGCCTGTTTGAATATTGCAAGTATTATATCAAGTCCTGGCCGCACTTGATTTTCTTTTAAAATATTTGAAAAGTTTGTAAGCTTGATGTTTATATTTAGCTGTGAAAATGAAAATTTACTTATTTGATGTTATACCGTTGTCAGATTTGTTAATGTGATTATAAACTTAAGGCAGGTTCGTGTATTTAAAGATGCATACAAAGTCAATTTTTTGTCACAAAAACCAACCAAATGCCAGCATATAGTTTCAAGTAGTATAACTAAGAGAATTGCCAAAAGGCATTGTTTAATTTTACCCGAAAATGATGTTTGAACAGATTTTTCTGCTGGCATTCTAAGCTGTATGTCAATGGGGCAGGAAAGTAGGTCACGGAAGTAGGTTAAATTTACAACCATAAATTTAAAGAAAGGAGCAGTCTGAAGGTCTTTTATGGCTGATTGAGTGATCTATTCAGTTTATCCCTTGGCATGTCGAATTTATTTGAGTCATATAAGAATCTAGTAGAAGTGGTTTACATGTGTTACTCGGAATCCACACTCCACCGATGCTCGGTTCGTATGTACCTTTAAGTAAATAAGATTTTATCGACATTTCTATTGTAAAATCAAAGTTTTCAAACACTGTGCCCAATTTTAGATTGTTTTAGCAATACAACTGATGTAAAGGATTTATTGACTTAAACCAAAGTTGTTGTTTGAATTGTGCCATCAAATACTTACTTAAGATATGAAACCTTGATTAGCTTCTTCATTTTTAAGTCACCATATTGTCGAGGCACTAAAGATATTTAAAAGTTGACCCGCATTGGATCAGGTGATAAGATGTTTCGGTCGTTTAGGTTGGAATCCCTGAAGTTAATGCTATTTGGACTATAGTTATGCCATTGTTTAAATGAGCGTTCAGCTTCTTGTGTAAGATAATATAGTATTGTATATTTTATATAAGTAAGTGAGTTATTTCTGGTGTTGATTAGATTCTTAGCTAAGATAATATAGTATTATATGTGAATCATATTTGTACATGAGGTATTTCTGGTGTTTCATTTACAGTTCTTAAAGTTGATGAATTTTAGATGATTTCTGACTCAAATTAAGCCATAATCTGTTATCGAATTGCTTCTAAAAATCCTATTTAAGGCAATACATTTATTATATCTATATAAGTAGACAAGATATTTCTGGTGTTTCAGTTGGAGGCCCTGAAGCAGCAGTATGAAGAGCAGCTGGAGAATGTTAAGATGCAGCTGGAACAGCAGCGCCTTGAACAGCTGGGGACGGTGAAGGAGGTGCACGAACGGCAACGAGAGCGAGAACTGTCCGAGCTGCAACAGAAGCATTCTGAGGTAGGTGTGGCAGGCACAGTAAACAAGGACACAGTAAACAGGGGATAAGGTTTAGATATTGATATTGAGGGTAATAAATACTCAATAGGTCACTAAGAGACTTTATACAAGTAAAAGTAAGAAGTATAATGAATATGATAGGAAATGCAATTAATATTGATTAGGTAAATCATATGCTGATTATTTGAAGGTTATCACCAACATATAGACCAGATGAGCAGACTTGTTTACCTTTTTTCATTGAAAAAAAAAATAGTTGTGCAAATACCTAATATTTATGCTCTTTTTTTGTGGAATGTCTAAAGAATAATATACTTAGCTGGGGTAGCGCTAACACTCGCCAATTTAGCCAAATGCTAAAATTGACTGAAATTGGCTAAACAAAATGGGGTTGATATGACTTATTTTAGTCAAATTAAAACCATTTGGACAAAAAAGCAATGAAAAAGTGGTAATTTGGCTAAACAAAAAAGATTGCTATCGCCACCCCAGCTTAGGGGAAAATACTGTGGAATAACCATTCCATAAGTTGACTGTTGTTAGTAACAGATCAGTGATTCACAAACAAATTCTGTCCCTCTTGTCACTGCAGGAAATTGGTGCTATGGCGGGCCAGCTGGACGCCACCCATCAGGAGATCTTTGAGAAGATGAGGAGAAAGATGGAGGAGAACCACCAGCAGGATGTGGAAGAAATAAAAAAGGACCACCAGGTAGCACCACTGGCTTTGTCCTTTATTTCTCAGAAATTTTATATGCTATTTGGCATAGCACTAGCATTTTTTTTCACTTAGATAAAATCACCTCTTTTTCATATCTTTTTTCTCCACATGGTTAAAATATGACTTAAACAAGTCAAATCAACCCTGTTTTGTTTGGTCAGTTAAAGCCAGTTTTAGCATTTGGCTATATCAGCGAGTGCTAGCTCTACCCCAAATTATCTAGCGATTAGCAAGACAATAACCAGTTTATGCATTAAAATTTCATTTTCACATTGTGATTGTGTATTTTGAATGAAAATCATTTCAAACTATGAACCTTTTAGCTCTGGAAAACCTGTTTTGATTCATCTATGATTTTTCATGTATTATGAAGTGTCTGTATATCTATGTGCATGCTTAACACATCTATAACACTGCTCTAGTATACTTTGTAACACAATACTGTTTTATTGTAAAAGATGTGTATAACACTGCTATAGTAAATTTATTAAAATATATTAAAGTACAATACAGTTAATTGTCAAAGATGCTTACATTATAACACTGCTAATATATTTATTAAAACACAGAATTTGTTAAAATAAATTATAAAGATGCTTATAACACTGCTGTGATAGTTATCATAGATTCTTTTATTATAATATTGCTATAATATTTCCCTAGGCTGAGATGAAGCTCCAGCTGGAGGCCCTAAAGTTCACCACTGAGCAGATCTACAGCAGCCACCTGCAGCTGGTCAAGGCTGAGAAGGAGGCCGAGATGACCAGGGCGCTGGACAGTCTGAGGGACACAATGACCAAAGAACACAAGGAACACATCAACAACTTGCAGTCGTCATGGGAACAGAAACTAGAGGAGATGGACAGGCAGCATCAGCAGGATCTGGCAGCTAAAACAGGTGATTTTTGAAGTCACTCCTGCACTGATAGAGTTTCTCTTTCTTTTAGCCAAATAAATCATTATTTCAATTAATGATAATATAAAATCTGATTTTGTACATTTCATTTGTCATTAACATGTGGAGAAAATGTGATTGTTGCATATATTTAGTGCTCAATGTGCAAATTATTATTAGTGTTATTTTATTGTTATTTTAGCATCTTTAGAAGAGGAGTCAAAATTAATGTTCGAAAATCTGAAGGCAGAGCACCAGCAAGCCTTGGAGGTAAGATAAGTGAATTTTACATCATTAGGGTGTTACAAAATTGTGCTAACTGAGTGTTACAAAAATATGGGATGTTTTGATGTGAATTTATTGCCTCTCACATCTTGAATGACTGATTAGTAAATTAATGGTGCTTACATTACAAAAAAACTTCTCCAATATATAGGTAGCCAAGGTTATTTAAGTCTGTTGCCTTACGGTGGTGCCTAAAATACAGTGCATTTCCAGTACATTTTGAGTCATATTTTACAGAACCTGAAATTAGAGTACCAGCAGGGCTACAGCAAAGAAGTGGAGCGGATGCAGCAGCAGCAACTCCAAGACCGAGGCTCTGTGGAGGAGTACCAGGCAGATATGAACACATTACTACAAGAGAAGGAGATGCTGGTGAAACAAGCTGAAGGTATCTTCATTGTACAGAGGCACCCAGTTGCAAGAATGTGACTAAATACAAAATACTGATAACATAAATACTTGGGATTTATCCATATGGGCAGTTTTGATGTCCTAAAAGCTGGTGCATTAAGAAAATTTGAATATCACTTTCATACACGGTTGTTTACCTCTAGTTTACAAGTTTGTCTACTACTTGCCCCCCCCCCCCCAAATTCTAAATTAGTTGAAAACTTTGTTATCAGCAACCCCATACAAATGTAAAAGTATGGATTTTTCAACTATAAAAATGTAGCACCTTTTGTTAAGATACATAATTAAAAAAAATTGATAATATACAAACGTTTCCCTTTTAGAAATGAGGCAAAACCTCCAGAGAATCCACGAAGAAGAAATGTCTTCCCTAAAGAGCGCCATGGAGGCAGAGTACAACAAGCTGTGGGAGGCCAAGGAGGAGCTTGAGCGCCATCTGGTGACCAAAGAACAAGAACATCAACAGAATGTGATCCAGCTACAGGCACAGCTACAGCAAGCTACAGGTGTGGACAAAACTTGATGTGAAATAAAGTTAGAGTTGATTTGAATGTACAGTTTTTCAGATAATTAAACTCCATACTTTTGGTCTTAACTGTAGACAGTTTTGCTTTACTGAAAATGTGTGATGGATGTTATTTGTGTGTGTGTGTGTTTTTATGTATGAAGGTACGTCTTATGTTTACTAACTTGTGTAAAACAATATAATTTCTTTTGTCAGAATGTATACTGGATTGAAAACTTATTCATTTTATCTATATTACAGAAGCAGTTAAAAAAGAAGAAGAGAAAGCCAAAGCAGAACTGATGGAGAACCATAATAAAGAAATGGCAGACTTGAGAGCCTATTTTGAAAAGCATGTCAATGACATAGAGGCAGGCTATGTGGAAGAAATCACACAGGTCAAGTCAAAATATGAAGACAGTATTGCAGACCTCAAAAGTCTGTTAGAAGTCAAATCGCGCCCCAGCTCGGCAAGCATCGAACGCCAGGACTCGGCTGACAAATCCAGCGAGGCAGAGATCCGTCTAGCTCGGGAACGGGACTATTTCAAACAGAGCACTATGTTGACTGTGTTGTCTGATGTGGACAGCACTCCTCCCACCTCCCCGCGTGGCGAGACCGAAGACCAAACCAAGGTCGCTGACCTCGAGAGACAAATCGAGCTCTTGAAGGAACAGCTGGACACTGAAAAGAGGACGCTTGAAAACCAACATATTTCTGAGATGGAAAATCTCAAATCTCAGTTTGAATTTAAAGCGGAATTGGACCTTAAAAATGCAAAGGATGAGGCAGAAGCAAAATATGCCAAAGAATTGGAGGCTGTTAATCTGCAGCATATACAGGCCCTCGAAGAAATGAAGGCTAAATACAGTGAGGACCTGACCAAAGAGGCGATGAAAATCAGACTGGAGGCTGTCGCTGAGGCAGAGAAGCAGCTGCAGCAGGAGAAGGAAGACATCCAGTCTGAATTAGAGCACAATCACAAGGAATCTTTGGAGGCCTTGAGACAGGAATTGGAACACGAGAGAAAGGTGGAGGTCGAAACTCTGCAATCCGACTTTGCTGCGCAGCAACTGGTGGAACTGAAACGGTGTCAGGCAGAAATGACGGAGAAGTTTGATAAAGAGAAGGAAGATCTTGTCGCTGAGCTTGAAGAAAGGTTGAAAAATAGAATCAATGAGGATGATGTAAAATTAAAGGAGGTTGTTGAGAAATTGGAAAAAGAACATAAAAATGAACTGGAACAGTTGTCTGCCAAGTATAGTCAGTTAGAAAAAGAGTATGGTGAAACGGTGGAACAACTGCAGTCAGCACAAGATATGTTGAACTCTGAAAAGGTCAAAGTTGAAGAGTTTAACAAACAGCTGCAGGATGTACAAGATGAAATGAAAACCTTCAGAGAAGGTAAGTTTGGGATTCCATTTTGAAAATTCAAGGGTCACTGTTCTCAATAATGTTTAATTTATTTAATATTAAAAGTACAGTATTGGCACTATAATTAAAATGAAATATGGACTGTTCATATAATCCTAAAATAGTTTAATATGGCACACTTTTGTTTACATGTAGATGTTCATGTTAATACAGCGAATCACAAATGCTGGTGCTCATGTTATTATCAATTTTAATTAGCAGTCAAGAAGAGCAACTGTTTTGCCTGTATAATACTGTTAATGGTGAATTTATGCTTATCCACATGTTAGAAGAGGGTAAAAATACACCTCAGTAGATCTGTGCACATGACTTTCTCATAGTGATATATGATAATACAACTGATAATACACCTCAGTGACTGCCCAAACATATGGTAATCATTAATGACAGGATTTTTTCATTGGGCATAAATGATCAAATTTTTAGATACATTTATAATTTTATGATTACATGAATTATATTTCTCTATAGCATCTGTAGTCCAAGAGTAGCCCGCTATTTAATTTTGTTTCTACCACAGCAGGAATGTTCTAATTTTAAGAATTTATGACTTAAGAAAACAGCACCTGTAAAATTTACTTTGTTACCCCATTGCAAAAGATCAGTAATTACCATATTTAATACATCTAGGAGTGGAGAAGGGTGAGTGTCCCGAAGTTGAGGAGAGGTTCCAGAGGGAGCTAGAGCTGACCAAGACCACATTACAGCAGGAGTTTGACCAGTTGACCAGTACCTTACAGGCACAGACAGCCAAGGAGCTGCAGCAAGAACAGGTCTGCTTGTGAAATACATCTTGATGTGTTGAGAATACTGATAAAACTGCAATCAGAAATGGTTTGACTTGGATGTAAAAATTATAGTGTTTGGTGATGCCAGTAACTTCACATGGGATTCATAATTGTTAGTTGTGCTTTGGGGTCTGTTGTTTTTGTTTTCTGGTAGTCTTTGTTACCTTTGCGTCATTTCATCTCTGTCTACACTTTAATTTTTGATACATAAAAAATTAAAATACAGATAGAAGTCAGTTTTCATTTTACCTTTTGTTCTGTGTAAATGAGGCAGAAAAAGATGAGTTTAAAACCTGCTTCAAGATGGCATTACATTTTTGTTTCCCAAATCGCCATCCAAAAACTGCTTTAAAGTGGTCATTTTCATCTCCAAAATGGCCACCCAATTAATGTTTCTTCTTTCTGGTTTGATAAAAATTAGGAAAAATTCATGAACCAGCATCAGAACATGATGGACCAGTTCATTCAGGAGAGGGAGAAAGAAGTGGAAGAAATCAAAGAACAACATTCCAGAAAACTGCAAGATACCAATGCAGACCACCAGAGGGCGCTGGAGGTTCTGAAATCTGAACACCAGATGGAGCTGCAAAAGATTCAAGAGGAGCATGCTGCAGAGATTGGACAACTGAAAGAAAAGAAGTCAGAAAGGGATTCTGAAGAGGTTGATAGGTTGCAGGAGTTGCAGGCCTTGAAAGAAGAGTTTGACCAGATGCAGAAGAAGCACAGTGACATCATAAGCACACTGGAACAACAGCACCTTGAGGCAATGGAACAGTTGAAAATCCAAATTAAAGTAAGAACATTTTCATTGTGAGCATTTTGTGTAGCATCTATTACTGATACAACATTAAGACTTTTTGGTCTTAGAATTTAGAATTTATTGGTTAAAAATACTTTCTCAGTGAAACTGGCCCCTAATTCTCATATAAGTTGCTGTGAGTTCTAAATGGTTCCTATGTTTTCTCTGTTGCAGGAAGAGCTGATCTCAGACCACATGAAGAAGTTTGAAGAGATGACGGCAGAGTTAGAGCAGAGCCACCAGACTGAGGTGGATGAAGTGAGAGAGAAGTTAGCACAGGAATATCAAGGCATGGACTACTAATAACGAATTATTTAATTACATTATTTTTTTGAATGTTTAATCTTGATATGTATTTATTTATTTAAAAATCACACTGGCACAGTATTACTGTAAATCAGTATTGTTAGCAATAAAGCTCTTACTGTGCATAAGTTAATTAAAGAAGGGCACAAAAAGAGAGAGAGAGAGAGAGAGAGAGAGGAT